TCGCGTATTAAGAAATCAGTATATTCGTCTCTGGATCTATAAGTTTCTATATCTCCTTCCATTCGCAAATTATCCGTGCGCTTCACTACATCCATGCGTTCGCCACGCATCGGTCGATGATCATCCTTCGGTCGACCTTCGAATAGACCCTCTGGTTTCAGATTATCCTCTGGTTTTTTAACTTCGGCACGATCACCTTTAGTGGGCGTAAAGTCTTCTTTAGGTCTACCAATAAATTCACCCTCCGGCTTAAGATTATCTGGATGTTTCACTGGCGTACGTTTCTCAGCCGGAACATATTTTTCAGGATGTGGTCTTTCAAAATCGCCTTCGGGTTTCAGATTATCTGTTGGTTTTTTGACTTCTGGCCTTTCTGTTGGACGATAACCTTCTTGTTCCGGTCGTTCAAACTCACCTTCTGGCTTCAAATTATCTGAATGTTTAATCGGAGTACGTCGTTCCGCTGGACCAATAGGTGCCTTTTCCGGTCTTTCAAAATCGCCCTCGGGTTTGAGATTATCCTTTGGCTTTTTAACATCAGCCCTGTCACCTTTTTTTGGCACTTCTTCTTTTGGTTGAAAGACGAATTCGCCTTCCGGTTTTAAATTATCGTGTGGTTTCTTTACTACCGGTCTTTCAGCAGGTCTAAATTCTTCGGGCTTAGGTCTTTCGAATTCACCTTCTGGCTTCAGATTATCAGAATGTTTAATCGGAGAACGTCGCTCTGCAGGACCAATTGGTTTTTTCTCCGGTCTTTCGAAATCGCCCTCCGGTCGCAAATTGTCTTGTGGCTTTTTAATATCAGCTCTCTCACCTTTCTTTGGCGCCTCATCTTTTGGTCTTGACACAAATTCGCCTTCCGGTTTTAAATTGTCATGTGGTTTCTTTACAATTGGTCTTTCGGCAGGTTTGAATTCTTCAGGTATTGGTCTCTCGAACTCACCCTCTGGTTTTAGATTATCAGAATGTTTAATCGGGGTACGCTTCTCTGCTGGACTGATTGGTTTCTTTTCCGGTCTTTCGAACTCACCTTCCGGCCTCAAATTGTCTCTTGGTTTTTTCACATCAGCTCTTTCACCTTTTTTAGGCGCTTCTTCTTTAGGCTGACGTACGAAATCGCCTTCTGGTTTTAAATTATCTTCCGGCTTTTTAATTTCAGGTCTCTCTGCTTTCTTGGGTGAATAATCATCCTTCGGGCGACCTTCGAACGGACCTTCCGGTTTTAAATTATCACGATGTTTAACGACATCCATGCGTTCACCTTTAATAATTTTAAAATCATCTCGCGTTCTTGTATCAATGAATTCACCTTCCATACGTAAATTATCTTGATATTTAGTAATTTCAGT